AAACTTAGGTCCTTAGATGAGCACTACAACAATTTTACTTTTGTACAAAGAGGAAGATCCTGAAACTCTTCTTGAGGAGTTAGTTTCTGTTCCTGAGCTCCATATTCTAATGAGAATAGTAAGTAAACTTGCATTACTTCTGGTTAGTGTATAGCGTTTGTTTGAGAAATGGTTACAATCAAATTACATTATGTTTCGAGGATACCAAGGCGAAGGACTTGACGAAAACTATGCAAACAAGTTCCTGAAGTTGGTGGACATATTTAAAAGAGATGTTATAAACAATCAAAACTATGACTTATTACCAATAGTAAACTGTCTTAAAAAGTTTAAATGCATTCAAGAAGATACATTTGGTATGGAAGCAGGGGATACCATCAGCACTGCTGCTCTGGAGTTTAAAAAGTCCTATACAGATTTAATTGATTACGTGCATGCCACATTCGAGGGTATCGAGCTTATTATTACATGGAAAGTTCAGATAGCAGTATGTCATATACTTCGTTTTCTTCATCCTACTGAGTACGTCCTAGGAGTTTACTGTGAGGAAACAGGTAAAGCTATTCATCATGAATTCAAATAAACATGGAATAGATACTAACAAAAAGTTAACCATATTAAATATGCAAAACGGTTAAAATCCAGTGTTATTGAGTTTGCATCAAAAAACAATAAATAAATTGAACAATTATATAATTTAATTTTATGTTTATAATTTCAAATATATATTGTAATAAACTAATTAGCATAAAGCTTTTTTATTTTGTACTTTGATATGTTTAGGATAAGTTTTAGCTATTCTTTGACTTTTTTTTTCTAAATATTTTGTTTTTTTCCGAAGTTTTTCTAACAACCCAGAAGTTATAAATAAAAATGTTATAAATAGTGTCTACTAATGTATACCCATCTATTGAAAAAAATTATACCTGGGGTACATTTTAAACTGGCGGTCACTCAGGTCCACAGTGATAAGTTATAGTTATTTTTTGATTTTGTTTTCTCAATTTTTTTTGGAAATTCTAACACTTAAGAGGTTCTAAATAATATAAACGGTGTCCACTAATGTATACCTTACTATTGAAAAAAAAAATAAAATAAGACCTGGGGAACTATTAGGATTTTTAAACACACTAAATGTTACTTTTTATTTTATTTGGCTGAGATAAGCAGACTTTGTGAGAAAAAATTATATTATATCCATATATATTTTTTGTATTAAATTTTTTTTGTATTAAATGACATGTTAATAGCAGTGACTTTAACATTTAATGCAGTTAATAATTTTTGTTATGAAAACCAAGACTTTCTGCCATCATAGTTTGATTCTTATACCAAGATACAAGTAGACAGACAACATTATTGGCAATACCAATTAATATTAATTAATTTATAAATTAATTAAAATTAATTAATTTATAAATTAATTAAAATTAATTGGTGTTGCCAAGATTTAAATTAATATTAAATAATTTCCAATAATTAACGCTATCAAAAGCTTTGTTGAAATCTAAAAAGCATTTGAATACACGCCTTACAGATTTCAACATAACTACATATACCATGTATCAGGTTATAATAATCTGATACGAGGTATCAGATTATTATGTTTGGTTCAAGGATATCTTACCTTAATTTTAAAAACATCAAAATAAAATTAAAGTGTAGTAGTATATAGTAGTACTATTGGTTTAAGGTTATGTTATTATATTTATGGTTTAAAATTAAATTATTATATATGTTTAAGATTTAGTTCAGCTAGTTATTTAATCCGCAACATATATAGGGCTAGGCTGTTTAATAGGATGTGTCATACTTTATGATTTTTTGAAAAAAAAGTTTTTCCTAAAACCCGGTATATAGTAAACTTGTGTACAACTATTTATATTAAAACCAAAAAAAATAAACTAAAAATAGTTTATGTTAAGCTACCTGGAATAGTGTTTTGAAATTACATATTTATGGTCAATTTTTCGTAATTAGATTTGCCCCTTACGACAGATCTTATTTTGCGTACACGCATTTTTATACGCAAGTAATTGTTCAAACCCACTTACGTTGAATTCTATTTGATATCCAAATTATATAAAGTTGCAAATTTATAAATAGTCGAACATATAATTTGTTTGCTAAATGTTAAAAAATATTATAACAAATTTTAAAAATTAAAAAATTTACCCAAAAAGTTTGCAAATTATGAACTTTGCTATTTAATCATGGCAAAGTCAATATCTTCTAGAACTAGAAAAAGAAGCGGATCAAAGAATTCGTAATATGTAGGTTCTGGAACAGATGTTCTTGTACTGGAGATACCAACGCTAAGAGATCTTCTTAGATATGGTCTGTTTTTGCAAAAAAGAAACAATAGAAACAAAAGAAACTATCCAATAAAATCACTAATGAACATTGTTTACTCAAAGTTAACTGGTAAATAGATCCACGCCAATGGTTTGTTTGTATATCCTGTAACACATATTGAACATTTTATTACTGCAACATTGGTGAATGAATGGAATGGTGCCGACCTGGTTGCTAGAGGAAAAGCAAGCTTAAAGAAAAAAGACTTTTTGCAAAACTTGACATATTGTTTGATATACTGAATTGTAATTGCCAAATTATTACATGTCAAAAGAAAAATTATTTTTCAGAATGTAACGATGAAGCCCATATTAACTGTGCGTGCAAAAAGAAAAAAAAGATTCCAAAGAAAAAGTTAGTTTTTATACTTGGGCAAAAGGCTATAATAGGGACTACCAATCCGCATCAAATTAGATTAGCTGACTTGAAAGAAAACAAAAAGCTACATAAAATTAGAAAAAGTAGATTGAAGGAAGAAGTAGAATTTTTTTAATTAGTTTTGTTTTTAATTAGTAATTAGGTAATAAAGAAAAAATAATTAAACTCCAAAGTTAAATTAATTTAAGTTATATTACAAATATATTAGGCTGTTTCAGTTTAAAAATAACAAAATCTAATTACACTCAAAATGAAATTTTTACACGCGACTATTTATATTTCACTGATATTAGGAAATGACAAATAAAAAATATATTCATAAAATTATTTTTACTTACAAAATTTTACAAAACATCAATTAATGAAAATTCAATTACTTTATCCATAGCTTAGGCAAAAAGCGTCTGAAGAACTGCAACAAATAATTAAAAGACAGGAAGAAACGTTTGAATTTGAATTTAGCGAAACAGATGAACTATTTAAGTAATGAATGTTTCATAACAAACATCAATACTGAACTCACTCTAATGTGTCAACAGAATGAAGATCAGGAACGTTTACGATGACAAAGGTATTATGAGAACAAGGTATTATGAAAGTATTTCCAACAAAGCGTTATCAAGCATACGGTATGGTACAGGCTTACGGGAAACAGCTGAAGTTGCAACGGCAGCTAGGATAGACACAGGAATAGTTACAAAAGATGATACCAAGTTAGTTATTGACATCAGCAAAGTGAAGAGAGCTTAAGAAAAAATTATGCAGTTCAAAAAATACAATGCAGCTTGAACATCACTGCTCGCAACTTATCTTTTGGTATATTTATATTGACTCGGTGCTCAAATTACCCAAATCTTCCCTATATAAAAATTTTACTACATTCTTTCAAATAAAGTCAATAACAAACTTTTAACCTTAAAATAGTAAAACATTTACATATGATTTTTAAAAATGTGATTTACATAATTTTTAACTGCACTGTTAAAAAAAGCGCGTTTTTTACGGAAAAGTTCCGGCAGCTGCCGATGACCAAACTACCCGTTATTTTACGGAAAAACCCATCGCATGTAAACGGATGTTTCTGTTAACAAACGGATTTTTCCGTTAAAATACAATGGGTTTTTTCCGTTAAACAACGGGTAGTTTTAGTGTATTATGAATATTTAGTAGTTTTCGTGTAATTGAGGTGGCTCAAACACGGTGTTAAATTTTGCTCAAAAATATCCTGATTGCCAGTTTGCGCATGTTTTTACACTTACAATTATAGTTAGTAGAAACCATGTAAAAAGGACAATAACATTTTAATAGACTAATCAATATTGAAAGTTTTTGTTCTTTTAATTTCATTGCAGGAAGGTAAGTCGTCAGGTACAGCCAGCCAATACCTAAAAAACAAAGGTTAAAAATTAATACTGTCCTATCAATTTATCATACATATTTTCATTTAATTTGTAAATTCTATTTCATAAATCGACTCACACTGTAATTTGCATAGCTTAAACAGTACACTGTTAAAAAAATATCGCGTTTTTTACGGAAAAGTTCCGGCAGCTGCCGATGACAAAACCTCCCGTTATTTTACGGAAAAACCCATCGCATGTAAACGGAAGTTTCTGTAAATAAAGGGATATTTCCGTTCAAATATAATGGATTTTTTCCGTTAAATAACGAGAGGTTTTGTCATTGGCAGCTGCCGGAACTTTTCCGTAAATAAAGGGATTTTTTTTGTTTAAATATAATGGGTTTTTTCCGTTAAATAACGGGAGGTTTTGTCATCGGCAGCTGCCGGAAATTTCCCGTAAATAAAGGGATATTTCCGTTGAAAATCAACTGGTTTTTCCGATTAAACAACGGAAAGGTTGTGGAAACTCAACTACTGGATAATTTTCGCAGTTATAATGTTGCAGTTATATTCCGTTCATATGAAAATTTAAAAAGTGAGCATTTTAGATATAAAATAGACAGATGTTATCGATAATATTATCTAAAAACAAAATTTCTTTGATTAACATACAAATATACAATTTTTCCTGATTTACATTTTATATTAAAAGCAAATACATGCATAAATTAGTAAATAAACAATTTGATAGAGTACAAGCACATAATATTACACAATCATTTACATTATAGATTTATTTATAGAAAAACTTATTTAAACTTATTTTATTTAATATATATTTGTTTAAATATATTAAAATATATTTCGTAAAATATAAAAAAATCAATCCAAATACACAAAAACAAGGTTTATTTCTTTTTTTTTC